AAATTTCGTTGCAAAAAAAATACCAATTTTTTCTTTCATATTTTAAATCACCAATTTTTGTTGATTTTTTAATTTAATCACAAATTTTTACTGATTAAACCAATTTAAGCATGTTTTAAATGGTTTAACGAAATAAGTATCTGATAATAATATACATATGTTGAGTTTATCAGCAGTCTAATTACGTAATGAGTAAGGGAGGTTTACTTCCGTTAATCTATTTCATCAAAATATATTATGAAGGGTCTAAATTAGTTCAATTAACAAAAATTTTGACTAAAATGAAAAATCAACCAAAATTGATGATTTAAAGAGTTAAGAAAAATTTGGTGTTTTTTTTCAGTCAAATTTAAGAGTTGTGATTTTTTTTTTATATTTTTCCCAATTTCAAATCTAAAATGTTTAAAGCAAAAATTCTATTAAAAAAAATAAAAAAAAATTCGTATCCATTAAAGGACTTCACTTTAAAAGAAAGTTTCCACAACGTAGTCCAACTTCAAGCATCGGCCGAATTCTTTGTTGAAAGAGCATCCTTGCAATATAATTAGACAACTAAACCAACCGGTTTATGAATTGGAACATCTTGGAAACCGGTTAACATGTATGTTTCCACCATTCTTAGTTTTGTTACTCATCAAGTCATATTCTGAATCTATTCTTCAAAATGGCACAAGTTATAACAGCTAGATAAAAATATATCACAATCCCAAGAAGATTGTATAACCTTAACAATGCCTAAAGTTCAGAATATTGAACCGGTTAAAGATACCGTCAACTCCACATCTGAAGAATCACATGTCTTTAATAACCGAGTGAAGTAAGGATATCATATTGATTCGAACACAAGGTGGCATGAATTCGAAGCCATGACCACGTTTTCCAATTCCTTCAACCTCTCAAGTTTCTCATCTGAACGACTATATTTATTGGAGAATGTTGCCTTTTTCAAATGACTTGCATTCCTTAGGATGTATTTCGCCACCTCTTTCTCATCTTTTATTAGCCCTTCATAATCAGTCCACACCAATGTCTCGAGGCAGAGCAACAAACACTCAGCCACATGTTTTGGTTGATTCCATCTCCTATAAGCCACACGATGTCCCTTCCAAAACCAATCCTGAGACCAACGAGGGGAGGAAACACTTTGTATATTAGATCATCAAACCCCGAAACTGAGCTGGACTTTTTTTTTTCTTTTTTAAGATGAATTTACAATGCTTACACCAATGAGCTTGAGGACTTGTAATTTAGGTGAAGTGTCAAGCATGAGCATAAGTAGATTCCACCACTCTGGTTCATTTGTATGTAGCTCCAAATATATCAGATGATGGAAGATGGAACCAGTAGGAAACTTAATCTATTGCATGATACAGTATTAGTACAGAAACAATGACATAACAACAAGAAGAAATTCAATCAATTGTAAGAAAAGTGTACCTCCAAGGGTGATCCTATCTTCAAAGAAAGGCGTCTGACTAAAAAGAGGGATCCAAGAATGCTCTCAAAGACAACACGAGACACACCAATAATACTTGCCTCCACCAGCTCAGGTGTATTATTCTCAATCAGACAAGACCCATCTTCTAAAATCCCTTCAATCTTCAAGTATTTCAAAGAAGGAGCATTTATCATATAGACCGAATTCTCCTCACACTCATTGTCAGCCATAACTGTTAGCCTCTGCAAGGATGGCACCGCAATAGTAAAAGTCTTCAAACTAAACTCTGTAGATTGATGAACCACCAAATTTTCCAGGCTAATACAACCAGAAAATAAGTTAACAACTGATTCATCGTCTTTGTACTCCATTACGTGAAGGTGTAGAGTTCTAAGGGACTTGAGACAAACCGGAAAAGGGACATCTATAAGAATACAATGATAGAGTTCCAAGGTCTCTAGAGTTTCACAGTAATACAAACTTGTGGGAAATCTGAACGACTTCCCAGAGTAAGATTCAAGTACCAACTCACGTAGTTGGCGTCCAAACGCAATCCCTAGCAGTAACCCAATATCAATACTAGAGCCACTATCAAAACTCATTTCAAGATGCAAACGTTGTAGAAACGGAGCTTGATGTGAAAGCAAACACTTGCAAACAATATTGGAAAATGTGTCGAGATCATATTTGCCATAGTCAATAAACTCAAGATTAGGCACCATTCTCCAAAGATACCGCCATCGTTTAGCCAAAACACTCATGGCTACAACTTCTGTTGTTGGAAGTAAAGACAATATCTGCAGAAGCAAAGATTCAGGCAACTGACTGATCCTATCCTCATTGCTCAAACCTTGACCACAACTTTTGCTGTAAAACAAAAAAAAAAATCCCCAAAATTCAAGAAACGAAAGAACACTGAGTTAATTTGGAGCTTACAGTTAAAGAAACCCTAAAAACAGATAGATGAAACATACCATCGTTTCATTGTCGTTGATAGAGACAAAAATCGAAGTGAAGAAGATCAGCTCGCTGCAATAGAGAACGAATCAATTCAAATCGGAGTTTGACCACTAAGAGAGTTTACGGCGGTGAGAAACCGACAGACTTTTTTTTTTTTTTTTTTTGGGCAAAGAGCTCAAAGATTTTATTCACCAATACAAACCGGATGAAAACCGACCATCCATCAATTCGATTTTGTATAATTTCGGTTTAAGATTTTAATTGAGTTCTTGTCTCGCCTAGACGTTGACAATTGGTTTTTGTCCATCAAATCGTCAATGAGAAGTTTTGCCGAATCTGAAACCGCAAATATTCAAAATCCAAATACATATCATGTTGGGGAAGTTGCATATCAAACGGTCAAAGAAAGGCAATATTACAGAACTCAGTATCCAATTAAACAGAATAAAAAAAAAAGTTACATGTTATAACAAAGACTATATTTCTAAGTTACATTCGAACACAAGCTGGCATGAATTTGAAGCCCTGACCACATTTTCCAATGCCTCCATCATCTCAAGATTATCAACCATGTCTTGAGAATTGTTCTCTTCATAGATTATTCTGGTGAAAGTTGCTCTCTTCAAACAATTAGAGTTCCTTAGGATGTATTTGGCCACCTCTTTTTCATCTTCTCCTAGCCTTTCGCAGCCTTTCCACATGAATGTTTCGAGATGAAACAACAAACATCCAGGAACATTCTTTGGTTGATTCCAATTCCTAATGGCTAAAGGATTTTTTACACCATACCATTTCTGTGACCAAAGAAGGGGAAACACAGTGTATGCTATTATTAGATCCATCACAAAATTTAAAACCAACTTAGATGAACATTGCTTACACCGATGAGCTTGAGGACTCGCAATTTAGGAGAACTATCTAGCATGAGCACAAGTAGATTCCACCACTCTGCTTTATTTGTATATAGCTCCAAACATACCAACTGATAGAAGATGCTACCAGTAGGAAACTTAATCTATACATGGGGCAGTATTAGTACAGAAACAATGTAATAACAACAAATAACCCGAATAATTGCAAGAAAACCTTACCTCCAATGGCGATAACCCCAAGGAAAGACGTTTGACTGAAGTTAGGGATTCAAGAAGCTTCTCGTTGATTATCTTAGAGACATTACTAACATTTGCCTCCACCAACTCTGGTGCATTCTCAATCAGACAAGATTCGAGAGCCTTAAACCCTTTAATTTTCAAGTACTTCAATGAAGGAGCATTTATCACATAGCCCGTACAATGTTGTGCATCATTGTCATCATAAATTGTTAGTCTCTGTAAAGATGGCACTGCAATAGTGAAAGTCTCCACTTCCAGTAGATTTCGTCGATACACAACCAAATTTTCAAGATTAGGGCAGCCAGATAAAAGGTTATAAACCGAATCATCGTATTTGTAATCCACATTCTCAAGACGCAGAGTTCTAAGAGACTTCAAACAAACCGGAGAAGGGGCATCAACGAGAATACAACTCTTGAGTGTCAAGCTCTCTAGTGTTTCACAATTATACAAACTCGTAGGAAATGTGAAAGACCCTTTCTTAGATACAACATGGAGTACCAACTCACGCACACGGCGTGCGTATGCAATTCCAATCCACATCCCAACTTCCACAGCACGACACTCGCCCAACCAAAAATCGAGATGCAAACTCTCTAGAAACGGAGCTTTATTGGAAAGCAAAAGCCTGCAAACAATCTCTGAGTATGTCTCGTGTTCACTTTGATTGTTTTCATAATCAAACTTGAGTTTAGGTACCAGCTTCCAGAGAGACCTCCACGGTTTAGACAAAACACTAGTGGAAACAACATCTTTTACTGGAAGCATGGACAATATATGCAAAATCAGAGATTCAGGCAAGTGACTGATCCTGTCCTCATTCACAACACCTTCAAGTCTCAAACTTTCAAAAGCCCAAACAGAAAAGAAAATTCAAGAACCAATTGGTTTGGAGCTAACAGTTTAAGAAAACCCTAGAACGGAAACACACATAAAAACATACCATCGTTTCATTGTCGTTGATAGAGATACTCCAATTGCAAACGCAGACGCGGTCAAAGGTTCAGAACGGTAGCGTTTTTGGTAGATGAAGACCTAATTCCTCTACCAAAAAATCCGGCGGCGGTAGAGGGAAAGACGTTACTGGAAATTGGAGGAATTTGTTCGGCGGATGTTAGGGTTTCTAAGAGAAGGAGTCTTCTCTCTGCTTTTGACGGTGGTTTCTATTTCCTTAATTTTAAAACTTGAATATATTTTCTCAATTTTTGTTTTTCATTGCCTCTAGTCCTCTACGGCTCTACTCTTAACTAGTATTTTTTTGGTCGAAAATAATAATTATTGATTAAGAATTGAATAAGTCATGGAACAATTAAATTATTAATGTCCATTGGATATATTGGATATATCGAAAAAAAGCAGAAACTCTCTCTTCTCTTTCATAGCAGCTCCCTTGTGAGTTCTTTGTCGCCGTTAAATCAATTGCCGTCCCAACTGTTTGGGATTAAGAACTTTTCCCTCAAGAAGAATTCAGTCTCTAATTGAGCGGAACTACTATCCGAAGATATAAACGTTTTCTGTCGGCTTCAGTGTTACGTTGTTTCGTGAATTTCTCAGTTTCTGAAAGTGTCTCAAGGAGTTTGAATCTAATTGCTTTCTCTGAAGGATTGGAATTTTGTTTCCAGTGTTGAAGTTTTCTCTGCCTAGTCTGTAAGTGTTATCTGTTGATCTACTACAGCTCAATGGATCTGGATAAAGCTATTCAAGATCTGTCGATTTCGGATGATAAACCGCTAGTTCTGTCTAATTTGCCAAAGTATTGTTCTACCGAAAGGAATAGTTGTAGTATTATGGGGCGTTTCCTGAATCCGGAAGCTCAAAGAATGTCTAATTGGATATTAGACATGCCAAGAATCTGGAGATTATATAATCGTGTTCGAGGAGTGGCTTTGTCTAAAGATAGATTTCAATTTATCTTTAAATCAGAAGAGGATCTCGATGGAATTCTGAAGATAGGAGTTTGGACTCAGGATGATTGGTGTGTTGTGATGGAAAAATGGTTGGAGAACCCTCCACCAGATTACTTGATGTTTCTTCCGATATGGGTTAGACTGCGTAATCTTCCGGTGAATTATTATACCAAAGACACAATTGAGGATATAGCAGCGTGTGTTGGTAAAGTGCTTCAAGTGGCCCTTGATCTAGAAAAATCTCAGGTTCAAGATTATGTTAGAGTTCAAGTGCTGTTAAATGTTTCTAATCCTCTTCGCAATTCGAAGGAAGTGCAACTGCCGACTGGAGAAATCGTAATCATCTCTTTTGATTATGAAAGGGTTCGCAAAAGGTGTTTTAATTGTCAAAGACTATCACATGACAAGACAAGATGCCCCTTTAAGCTGAGTACGTCTCCAAAAGTTTCCTCTGTGGTTTCTGAGGAGAAATTAAAAGAAAAAGAGGTCATTAACAAAGACTTCCATATGCAATTGTCAACACCGAGTCCTATGAAGTTTATGGCAGATGCGATGAAGAAGTATGGAGATTCAAAGGTGGTCTCTAATTCTTTAGAGGAAAACTTTGAAGAGGATCTGTCAGACTTGGAACTGTTTGTTGGTTTCAAAACAGGAAGCTGTGAAGCTAGCTCTTCTGCGAATGGAAATAAAAAAGATGCTGCAAGTAAAGTGAAGACTTCATGGCAAAGGAATTCAAAATCTGCAAAAGAACTTTTGATGAAGGAAAAGGTTAGTAATTTTGATTCTAAAGAGAAGTTTGATAGAGTTTTCAAAAGGAAAGCTCAATTTGCAGATACAGAAGTTTCAAAGGTGATCAAAAGAGATAATAAGACGGTGGTTCCACAGGAACTGCCGCAATTTCAATAAGGCGTCTTAAGTTGGAATTGCCAAGGTCTGAGGAATCCTTGGACAATTCGTCATCTTAGGGAAATGAAAAAGGATCATTTCCCAGACATTTTGTTCCTCATGGAGACGATGAACTCTGATGTGTTTATAGAAAAAGTTTTCTCTTGGTTGGGTTATGAGCATGTTTATACAGTGGAACCAGAAGGAAAGAGTGGGGGTTTAGCTTTATTTTGGAAAAATCATCTGGATATTGAAATACTTTTTGCAGACAAAAATCTCTTGGATTTGAAAGTGTCTCAAAGGAATAAGAGTTGGTTTTTGTCTTGTGTGTATGGGAATCCTGTGATAAACCTGAGACCTTTTTTATGGGAAACACTTTCAGGTATTGGTTTTCATAGGAAAGAAGCTTGGTGTATGATAGGGGACTTCAATGAAATCCTTTCTAATAAGGAAAAATTAGGTGGTCCTAGAAGAATAGTTTCTTCCTTTCAGTTCTTTCAAGAGATGGTGAAGAATTGTGATATGACTGAAATTGGAAGCTCAGGGAATGGATTTACATGGGGAGGAACAAGGAATGACTATTGGGTTCAATGCAAATTAGATAGATGTTTTGGGAATCCTGCTTGGTCTGCTTTGTTTCCTAATTCCCATCAGTGGTTTCTGGAAAAGTTTGGATCAGATCATAGACCAGTATTGGTTAAATTTATCAATGATCAAGAAGTTTTCAGAGGGCAGTTTAGATTTGATAAGAGACTAGCAGATAATCCCATCTGTTCTGCTATCATTAATCAGGTTTGGAATAGTGATGTTTCTAAAGAGGTGAGCTCCTCTATATTCAGTATCACTGAATGTAGAAAAGCAATTTCTGCCTGGTCAAAATCGTGTGATTTGAATGCTGGAAGCAAAATCAAAAGGTTGAGATTTGAATTAGATCTTCAGAAAAGTGCAGAATCTCCAAACTGGCCCAGAATTGCTATTATCAAAGATCAGTTGGGTTTAGCTTATGATGAAGAAGAATCTTTTTGGAGACAAAAAAGTAGAGAGAAATGGATGGATGAAGGTGACAAGAATACTAAGTTTTTTCAGGCTGCTGTAAGAGCTAATAGAGTTAAAAATTCTCTTAGTTTTCTTCTGGATGAGAAAGGTCAAGAACAGACGTTGAATAAGGAAAAAGGAAAGATAGCTGCGGATTTCTTTGAAAAGTTATTCACTTCTTCTTCTCCAATTTGTTTGACTAGTGTTCTTTCAGGATTTCATGCAAGAGTGACTTCAGAAATGAATCAGGATCTGATACAAGAGGTTACAGAGAAGGAGATTTATGAGGCACTGTTTTCAATCAATAGTGAAAGTTCTCCAGGGCCAGATGGTTTTACTGCTTTATTCTTTCAGAAGAATTGGACTGTAGTAAAATCACAAATTATAAAAGAAGTAATGGGTTTCTTTCATCATGATACTTTACCAGAAGATTGGAACCATACTCATCTTTGCTTGATTCCAAAAATCACTAATCCACAGAGGATGGCGGATGTTAGACCAATCAGTCTATGTTCAGTGTTATACAAGATAGTCTCAAAGATTTTGGGAGCACGCTTGAAGAAGCATTTACCAGAGATTATTTCACCAACACAATCGGCCTTTGTGAGTGAAAGGTTAGTCTCGGATAATATTCTAATAGCTCATGAGATCTTGCATAACATTAAAACGAATAAGAATTTTTCCAAAGAGTTTATGGTGATTAAAACAGATATGTCAAAAGCATATGATAGAGTAGAGTGGTCCTTCCTGGAAGGAATTCTAACTTCTATTGGGTTTCATAACAAATGGATTGCTTGGATTATGGAGTGTGTCTCAACGGTTTCATTTTCTGTTTTGATCAATGGGCAACCCTTTGGAAACATAAAACCAGGCAGAGGAATCAGACAGGGTGATCCTCTATCACCCTTTTTGTTTGTTTTATGTACAGAGGCTCTCATCCATATCCTTAATCAGGCTGAAAGGGAAAGGAAAATTTCTGGCATCCAGTTTTTCAATGCGGGAAGTTCAGTGAATCACTTACTATTTGCAGATGATACGCTCATTATTTGCAAAGCCAAGAAGGATGAATGTGAAGAGATCATGAAATGTTTATCCTCTTACAAAGAAATTTCAGGTCAAGAGATCAATTTGGAGAAATCTGCAATTACTTTTGGGACCAAAGTAGAAGATGAATTGAGAAATTGGATCAAAATCAGAACAGGGATTTTAACAGAAGGAGGAACAACCAAGTATTTGGGTTTACCAGAATGTTTAAGTGGCTCCAAAAAAGAGTTGTTTGGATTTATCAAAGAGAAGTTGCAGGCTAGGATGACAGGTTGGTATGCAAAAGCCTTGTCACAGGGTGGAAAGGAAATTCTTTTAAAATCAATAGCAATGGCATTACCAGTATATGCCATGACTTGTTTCAAGTTACCTAAAACACTTTGTCAGAATTTGACTAGTGTCATGATGGATTTCTGGTGGAATAATGTTCAAAGCTCAAAGAAGATTCATTGGGTGGCTTGGCAGAAGTTAACTTTACCTAAGGATCTAGGAGGAATTGGTTTTAAAGATCTTCAATGCTTCAATCAAGCCTTATTAGCAAAGCAAGCCTGGAGACTTCTTCATGATGAAAATAGCCTTTTCTTCAAAGTCTTTAAAAACAGGTATTTTCTAAACTCTGACTTCATCAATGCTACAAAAGGCACAAGACCTTCTTATGCATGGAGAAGTATTTTATTTGGAAGAGATCTGCTTCAAGAAGGCCTAAAAAAGGTTATAGGGAATGGTGAAAGAACTAATATTTGGATTGACAAATGGTTGTGTGATGAACAAAAAAACAGAAGACCAATGAATAGGCAACTTTTGATTGATATTGAGCTTAAGGTTAGTTCTTTGATTGATCCGGTTTCTAAGTATTGGAATCTGAATATGCTTAGAGATCTTTTTCCATGGAAGGATGTACAACTGATTCTTAAGCAAAGGCCTTTATGTTCTATTGAAGATTCTCTGTGTTGGGCGTATACAAATGATGGGTTGTATTCAGTCAAATCTGGTTATGTGATTAGCAGTAAAAGGACTCATCAGAAGCTTTTTCAGGAAGCAGAAGAGAATCCTTCTTTGAATCCTCTTTACATCAAAATTTGGAAGTTGCATACTGAACCAAAGATTAAAGTTTTCCTTTGGAAGATTTTGAAAGGAGCTTTGGCTGTGGAAGATAGACTCAGAACAAGGGGAATTCAGATTGAGGATGGGTGTTTGATGTGTGGAGAAGAAAATGAAACAATCAATCACATTCTATTTCAATGTCCTTTGGCTAGACAGGTATGGGCTGTAGCTCTTATACCATCTACAAGGAATGGTTTTGGACAGTCTGTTTTTGCAAACTTAAGTCATATTTTACATATGGACCAGCTGAAAGATCTTTCTCCTCAATTAAGAACAATGAGCCCTTGGATACTTTGGGTTTTATGGAAAAATAGGAATAAACTCTTATTTGAAGGATTTGGTTCAATGATAAAATGTATTGTGGACAAAGCTTTTGATGATTGCTCTCAATGGTGTCAATCACAGCAAAGAGGAATTTCTTCAAGGATTGATAGAGAGCCACAAAATTTGAAGTGGAAGCCACCACAGCGAGGAGAAGTTAAATGCAATATTGGTTTTGCATGGTCAAAAAAAACTCAAAGCTCTGGAGCATCTTGGTTATTAAGAGATTCAACAGGAGAGGTACTCTTACATAGTCGTAGAGCTTATTCTCAGGTTCAATCACTTTTTGAGGCTAAAATTCAGAGTTGGCATTGGGCTTTAAGTAGTATGCAGCAATTACATTTTGATAAGATTATCTTTGGAACGTCTTCTCTGGAAATTATGAAAGCTTTGAATAAGCCTAAAGACTGGCCAGCAATAAAAGGACATATTGCTGAACTTCTGAGTTTTACAAAGGATAAAACAGGTTGGTTCATGGAAAAGGAGCATTCACATTCTAATCATGGAGCTTTTCAAATAGCAAAAAGTGTGATTTGTGGTTCCAGGTTTCAATCTTATGTGGCGAGAGGAGCTCCTCGTTGGCTGAAAGACTTTTTGACTTCAGAAAAGGTAACTTAGTGTGGAGGTTTGTGGTAATAAAACAATTATTTTTTGTCTTTAGGTTTCTGGCTTATTAGAAGCTTGTGTTTTATTTTTTATGTTATCTTTTAGGAAGTCTATCTTCATCGCTTTTTTGTTGTCTTCTGGTTTGTTTTTTAGTTTCTCCTAATCTTCTCTTTTTTTGGTTTCTCTCTTTTTAAGAATTGAGTCTTATCTTTTATCTTCTTTTATTTACATCTTTTTCTAGCGGTGAAGTTTTATTTTTATTTAGTCCTTTTGTTAGTCCCTTCTTTACTATAAATAGTTTAGTTGTGAGTCTTTTATTACCACACTTCCTTTTTGCTTTTTACCTTGTCGAGTCATGGCAGATGAATTGTGGAATAACCTTCAGCACCTTGATTTGGGAAGAAATGACCCGGAGTTGTTTATTCCACACGAGGCATACGCAGCTACAGAAGCTCGTAATAGGCTAAGTCTAATTGCTAGACCTCTGAATCCAAGATCTCAAAACCTTTTTACGGTAATCTCTTCTCTACCAAGAACTTGGGGCTTAACAACAACTGTTCAAGGCAGAGTTCTTGATGGTATGTATGTTCAGTTCTTGTTTCAATCTGAATTGGATCTTGTTTCAGTTCAAAGAAGAGAACCCTGGTTGTTTAATAATTGGTTTATAGCAGTTCAGAGATGGGTGGATTTCCCTAGGTTAAATTTTCTGACAACAATAGATCTCTGGGTTCAGATTAGAGGAATCCCTGTGCACTATGTTTGTGTTGAAACAGTGTCAGAAATAGCTCAAGATCTTGGGGAGATAATCCAGGTGGACTTTAATGAGACTACTTCCATACAGATAGCCTATATTCGGGTTAGAATTAGGTTTGGAATATCGGATAGGTTAAGGTTCTTTCAAAGAATTCGCTTTGATGCAGGTGAGACAGTTGTGATCCGTTTTCAATATGAACGTCTCAGAAGAATATGTACCAACTGTCTGAGGTTTAATCATCAAAGAAATCAGTGTCCTTATGGTCTGCCTATTGATGGAGGAAGAAGTGATGATTTGGATCATACATTTGCGGGTAGAGAGAGAAGATTTCTTCAGGATAATCTTCAGAGGTCTAACATGAACTCTCAATCTCAGAATTCAGACTACTCCTTTCCTGCACCAAGATCAACTCCTCCAAGAGTGGCTACTCCACCATTGAATCCTGAAGAAACTGTTGATGCAAGAAGGTATCTGTCCTCCTCAAGGATTGCTAATCTCCAACACTTTGCTGTTCCAAACCCACAGAATGCGGTAAGAAGACAACAATCAGCTTCAAGCTCTAACTCTAATTCCGCTACAGTTCAGGAGATGATGCCAAGAGATACAAGGAGGTTTGAAACAGGTGAATCTTCAAGGAGATCAGAAAATGGTGAACCAGCAGGGAGGTTTGACTCTTCAAAGCGTAAAAAGAATCTTTCTGATAATCAAGAGGAAGAAAACATGAACCAGAAGCAAAAAGGATCTGAGCTTAATCATGGAGGAATTCTGAAGCCTCCAAAAAAACGATAAAACACTCTACTGATTCTGTCAACACTTTTTGGCGAGGCTGCGTAAGGTTTTAAGGCAGCTTTAAGGTTTGAATAAAAGGATATGATCTTAGAAGTACCTTTTGGAAAGACCATATCTTCT